GGCTCAGTTGGTTAAGCGACTGCCTTAGGCTCAGGTCATGATCCTGGAGTCCCTGGATCGAGTCCCATATCGGGCTCCCTGCTCAGCAGGGAGTCTGCTTCTCCCTCTGACCCTCCCCCCTCTCATGTGCTCTCTCTCTCTCATTTTCTCTCTCTCAAATAAATAAAATCTTTAAAAAAAAAAAAAAGAGCAATTGTCAGGGGCGCCTGGTTGGCTCAGTCGGTTAAGTGGCCAGTTCTGGGTTTCAGCTGGGGTCATGATCTCGGGGTCATGGGATCAAGCCCTGTGTGGGGTTCTGCTTGTCTCTCTCCCTCTGCTCCTCCCCCTGCTCACTCGCTCACTCTCTCTAAAGTAAATAAAATCCAACCAATAATACATTTTATGTTAATTAATTGAATTTAAATTAAAAATGGGAAAAATAAAAATTAAATTAAATAAATAAAATCTAAAAAGAAAAGCAATTGTCAGGGCAGTATGTCTATGATTCCATTTTTTGTTTTGTGACTTGTGTGTCATATATGTATATATGCCTTATTAATATATGTAAATAATTGATAAAAACATATACCAATCTGTTAATAGTCTTTCAAAATAATATTGAAATATTAAGAAATTTAGAAAAGTTGCTCAGCTTCACTGATAATTAAAATGAATGCAAATTAGAGGAGTAAGGAGTCGTAATTATTGCCTTTCATATTGGTGAAAAAATTCCAAGATTAACACTCAATGTTGTATTCAGCCCTAGTCTCAAAACTTTTTTGATCAACCACATGTATTAAAAAGTAAAACTTTTTTGACCTCAAACACTAAATATGTTTATGTGTTTTTTTATAAATAAAAACGGGATTATATTCCTCATTCTTTTCTGCCACTTGAAAATTCATGCGTACAGCGATGTTCTCTGCAATAATGTTTGGCATAAGAAAAACTGCAAACATTCAGAATGTTCATCAATAGAGGACTGGTTAAATAAATGATTGAACATCAACATACATGTTAGGGTAGTGATCAGTCGTCCAAGAGAGTGAGGTAGTTATATATTATTGACACGGTAAGAGCACTGTATGAACATACCAAGTCTGAAAGTATACACAGAAAACAGAATGGTAGTTCGTGGCGGGGGCGGGGTGAGGAATGTGAAACTAAGCAGGGAATCTGCTTCCCATTGTTCTAATTGTTTGTGCGGTTGAAAATGTCTAACAACTTGTCTGTATAACTTATCCCATTAGAAGAGTACTAAAGATGTAAAACCAAATTTCCAAAGCCGCTTGAATCATTAAAGCAGAAGGCACACATTTTACAGTTGAGAACATGAATAGGTTTTGTGTGTTCGCACTAGCTCACAGTTGAGGACTGGAAAAATTCCTAAAGGGATTTGAGGCAACAGGAAACGGGTTCACACTTCTAAGATATTCAAGATCATGTTTACGAAAGAACTCTTCCTACGTTTTGTGCAAGTTTCGTTCTGGTTCCGTTAAAATTTAAAACATTAAAAAAGAAGAAGAAGAAGGACCACCGGGAGGAGGAAGCTGGGTCTCCCGGGAAAGCCACGTGCCCCTCCCCCCCCCGCCTCGGGTCCCCGCCCCCCCGTCCCCCTCCCTTCCCGGTCCAGGGGCTCGCGATCTCCGGCGCCCCGCCCACCCCGAGGCAGCTCAGTCTGGCGGCCCCCGCGGAGCACCAGCGATCGCAGATCGCCGCGGCCGGGAAGGAGGGCGTTCGTGGTGCAGCGCGGCGGGCATCGGAGGCCGCCCAGTGGGCCCCCCGCGCCGACTGCCCTCTGCGCGCATCTCTCGGTCCTTCGATCGGTGGGTCGGCGCGGCCGGCTGGAAGCGCTGAGCTCCCGGCACCGTGTGGGAGGCGACACCGGACCGATGGCGGCGGCGGCGGCGGCGACGGCGGCGGCCCTGTCGGCCCTGGGGGTGCGGCTGTCGCGCTCGGCGGCGGCCCGCGGCTCGTACGGCGCCTTCTGCAAGGGGCTCACGCGCACGCTGATCACCTTCTTCGACCTGGCCTGGCGGCTGCGCATGAACTTCCCCTACTTCTACGTGGTGGCCTCGGTGATCCTCAACGTCCGCCTGCAGGTACATATTTAGAGCAAGTAACTTTGTGGCGTTCGGGGGTCCCCGAAGGATGGCTGGCTTCCACCCCGCGGCTCCCCCGCTCTAGAGCACAGCGGCCAGTAGGCTCGCGCGCGCAGACTCGCCCGGCTGCCTTTCCACGGCCTTCTCTTTCCATGTACATGGGCGGCTAGAAAACCTCATTTGCGGAAAGCCTCCTGTATAACCAAAAAAGCCGAAGATAGAGTGAAAGGGTGATTCTCTAGGAAATAGTTCAAGGAACAGGAAAGAACTTTAAACTCCGAAGATCCTCAGAAATACCTGAGACGTTCTTGCAGCCGTGAAACACACAACAGCCCGAACGGGAGGAAGCGACGGTGGTCTCAGGATGCCCGAAGGGGGAAAACCAGAGGAGAGGTTACTAACGACCCAGACGTAAACTAACTGCACAACGACGGTCCAGTTGGGCAAGGAAATCTTCCAAGTTAGAGTAAGATGCGAACAGACTTCCAACAGAATATGGACTGAATTCCAAGCCATTAGCTGGATTGCGTTGGAAGCTGGGGGAAATTAACGACAGGATCTGGAAGGCATACACGGCCTCATCCCCAAAGCCAAGTCAGTGGCGAACAGAAACACTACGGCGCAAAACAAACATTTCAAACTGGACAAGGAAAGCAGGCTTCGAACAGGAAGCTGCCTCAGACCGGGCCGGGTTTGAACAGCTGCCAGGAGTGGGAGAAAGGGAACCAGCTCGAACACCGATCGGCACGTGCAGCGCTCGGAGAGGAGACCGACCAGTCATCCCGTGCAGCTCGGCTCTTCAGCGAACCTTATTTCAATAATCATTCCGATGGAAAAAGAAGTTACGGTTTTCCGTTCTTAGACCAAATCTGTCAGCTAAGCAGGGAAGACTTCATTCGTGACGGGGCTAGAACCGGATGGGAAGGTTAGCCGCTTGGACAGTGCGCAGTCCGGGCAACAAGTGGACAGGCAGAGAGGAGGAAATGGAGCGGTGGCGTTATTCTCGGGAAGCAGAAAGTCCAGATTCTGGCTCTAGTTGAAAGAATAAGGCAAGTTTAGGGATCGTATTATTAAAGCGAACAAGGTAGCCACCGGGGGATTTAAAAATAGTGATTCAGCCATAGTGAGGGGGGAGGGGGGTGCTGGGACAGCGGGAAGTCAAAATTCCTTATGTTATCAAGTCAAAAAAGTAGTAATAAAAGCATATTCTTACGGAAGAAAGGAGCTAACCACTAGACAGACAGGTGTAAACGTTTTTGCCTCTGGCTTAGTTCCCTAAGTTGAGCAGGATGGGCAGGGATTTACTACTTTTCATTATATGCCTTTTTTTTCACTATTGGATTTTTTTTAAAACTATGTATGTATTGCTTTCATTAAAAAGTAAAACTTAGTAAAAACTGAATTGACTGCAATTAGAAGGACATTTGGGGGAGGGGGAGCTGGGGATGGGCACAGAAGGCCAGGGAGATTGCACCTTCCTTTCTGCGTACCCTAAAATGTTCCTGAATGATCCCACCATATAGGATTTCCTTGCTTTCCATGCAAACTTTAGACCCCAAGGAAAAGCTTTAAAAATAAAAATGGCCAGTCATCTTCAGGTAGCCCAGAGCTTCCTCACTCTCTGAAACTGCATGAGCAAATTCCTGCGGCGATGTAGTTAAGATTAAAAAAAAAAAAAAAAAGATTTATTTTATAAAATACTTGCAATTTTTCAAAACTGTTTTCCAGGTTTATCGAGGCATAAGCGACATGTAACCTCGTGTAAATGTAAGCTGCCCAGTGTGTTGGGTTTGATACACTTCTACACTACAATGTGATTGCCCCCAGCCTAAGCTGACCTCTTGGTCACGTCACATAATTACTGTTTTTTTGTGGTGAAAACATTCAAGATTCCTCTCTTAGCAACTTTCAAGTGTATGATAGAATATTAACTATGATCACAGTGCTGTGTCTTAAATCCCTAAAGTTTATTTGTCTTCTAACTGGGAGTTTGTACTCTTGGACCAACATCTCCTCACTGCCCCCAGCCCCGTGGTAACGACCATCCTACTGTTTCTGTGGGTTTGGCTTTTTTCCATTCCACGTATAAGTGAGATCAGACAGAACATTGATGGACACTTCGACGAGTGCCTCAAGATGTTTAGACGAGGTGCTTACATTTTACTATCGGTCGTAATAGCAAGCCGGTGGAATAAATTAAATGTCCCACATTAGTGTAGGGGCGCAGGGCACGCCGCCCCAAGATGGCTGCTTTGGTATGACTGCTACTTTGAGCCAAAAGCAGTCAGAACCCAGCAGATGCCAGGAAAGCTCTTTACCTCCCCCTCAACTGCCTGTCTGTACCAGGAAGAAAGCTTGAAACAGATCCCCCCCCCTTTTTTTTTTAAAGATTTTATTAATTTGAGAGAATGAGAGAGAGTACGAGGCAGGGGAGGGGCGGAGGCAGAGGGAGAAGCAGACTCCCCACTGAGCAGGGAGCCCCCTACTCGGGGCTCCATCCCAGGACCCTGAGATCATGACCTGAGCGGAAGGCAGATGCTTCACCTTCACCGACTGAGCCACCCAGGCGCCCCAGAGATTCCTCTTTACCTAAAAAAATTTATCTGCATACCAAGGCAACCTTTGTTTTCCAAACATCTCCTCTCCCCTTCCTGCTAATGGTCTTTCTCCCCTTTTATTTTCAGACCCTACCCTTCTCTTTAGCTCCTATAAGCCTCATGTTGCCTCACTGTTTCTGCAATCTCCTGTCTGTGGATACCCCATAGGTCCGCTATTAAATTTGATTTTCTGTTAATCTATCTCATGTCAATTTGAGTCTTATTCCGGCAAGAAGGACCTTGAAGGGCAGAGGAACTTCCTCCCCAACAGTAGGAGCTTGGTTTATTTATTTATTTATTATTTTTTAAAAGATTTTATTTATTTATTTGACAGAGAAAGACACAGCGAGAGAGGGAACACAGGCAGGGGGAGTGGGAGAGGGAGAAGCAGGCTTCCCGCTGAGCAAGGAGCCCGATGCAGGGCTTGATCCCAGGACCCTGGGACCATGATCTGAGCCGGAGGCAGACGCTTAACGACTGAGCCACCCAGGCACCCCAGTAGGAGCTTGGTTTAATAAAAATAAAGTATAACTATATAATGGAGTACTGTGTAGCCATTAAAAATAAGGAATTTTATTTTATCAAAGTGGAATGAATCTAATAGATGGGAAGTCACCTCACAAATGGCTTGTGATTGAGCCAGAGGGACACACACACACACACACACACACACACACACAGATGTATACATGTATATACATTTGTACACTCCACTTAGTGATAGGGTATGAGGATACTTGGAAACAGGGTGCCCGGATGGCTCCGTTGGTTTGGCGTCTGCCTTCGGCTCAGGTCATGATCCCCGGGTCCTGGGATCCAGCCCCACATCAGGCTCCCTGCTCAGCTCTCCCCTCCCTCTGCTCTCCCCTCCCTCTGCTCTCTCCTTGTGCTCTCTCTCCCTCTCTCTCTCAAATAAATAAATGGAATCTTTAAAAAAAAAAAAAGAATACTTGGAAACATTATTGCACTCTTAGGATAAGCCATGAGATGTTCTAAGTACTTTATATACATCATCTCATTTAATCCTGGCAACAACCCAGAGATAGGAGCTGTTATTATCCACAGTTTTCAGGACAGGAGACAAGCACAGAGGAGTATAGTGGCAGACGGATGAAATACTTTGAACAATATCATTCTTACTAATATGAGGCCTTCATTGTGATGATTAGTTTTGTTTTGTTTTGTTTTTAAAGATTTTATTTGACAGAGAGACAGCGAGAGAGGGAACACAAGCAGGGAGAGTGGGAGAGGGAGAAGCAGGCTCCCCGAGGAACAGGGAGCCAGATGTGGGGCTCGATCCCAGGACCCCGGGATCATGACTTGAGCCAAAGGCAGATGCTTAACGACTGGGCCACCCAGGCGCCCCTGATGATTAGTTTTTTTTGTTTTTTTAAAGATTTTATTTATTTATTCATGAGAGACAGAGAGAGAAAGAGAGGCAGAGGGAGAAGCAGGCTCCCAGGGAGCAGGGAGCCCGATGTGGGACTCGATCCCAGGACCCTGGGATCATGACCTGAGCCGAAGGCAGACGCTTAACCATCTGAGCCACCCAGGCGCCCTGATGATTAGTTTTTAATCATGTTTTTATTGCTTAAATTGTGAGACCTTTACATTTTTGGTGTAAGATTCACTATCCAGTGGGTGCCACAGATGCTGGAATTTGGGGAAAGCTGAGCTAGGCCCTCCATTCCTGGAAGCCCCATCTAGCGTTACGGGGGTCACACAACTGAAGGTCAGATGGAGCTTAGCCACTTACAGAGGATTTGAATTCTAACCAAGGAAACTCATTTTAAGGAAATATTAAAAGCATTCTTTATAGCAAACACTCAGATAAAAGCAAATTGGTTTTAATGTGGAAATTGTAACTAATTAAACACCACTTTCTTCTCAGAAAACACATCTTCTTGCCCATGAACAAAGACCAAATACACACATTTCTAAACAGTTACAGTTTAAAAGTTTTAACATGCAAAGAGCACGAGGCTTTTGGTTTTGTGTTTCACTTTTCAAATCATACCGCAGGGATAATTTCTCTCACCCCACAGCCAAAAAAAACCCCCAAAACAAAAAAACAACCAAAAACACAAAAGACAGCCAGTGTAACTACAGCATCTTCAGATTGATTAACCTGTTCTCTTCCATGCTCATCTGCCCTTCGAGAGCTGAATATCTCTGGCAACTTTTACATTGACTTATTGTAGTTAGATCTAGTTCTCTTGAGCATGGCTAACACGACCTTCTAGTGATCTAAATAGAAGATATCCTTTAACTCACACTCTCCTATGCAATCCTCGGGAAGGAGCTCCTCTCGTCCATGCTAAATATTTTCTACCTTGACTCTATCATTTCCCCCTTCCAGGGCCTGTCCTGATACCACCAAACGTCTGATGTTGCAGATGCAAATGCAGATTCCAGACCCTGGACTTCCTACCCCTGGGCTTTCTGTTGTGACCCCTGACTGCCTTCCTTGGACACGGTTCTGTGACTGCCTTCAGACTCAGGCTGGTTCTGGTCACCTGAATGACTATCGGCATTGACACCTTTCTCCAGCAACGCAAAGAGATTCTCTAGACTCCTTGTCCCCAGGGTAGGAGTGGAGGTGGTGGGAGACTTGTAAACATTGTCTTTCAAGACATGACTTACCAGAAGTCCCCCTTTGGGTGTTTTTACTTCAAATCTGAGAGCTTCACTGCAAATCCTTCCTGAAAACGGCTTGAGGACCTGGAGGTCAGGTTCATAAGCCAAATTTTGTTGAACCAAAGAATGTGAATGATGCTGGGCAAGGCAACCAAAGTCTTCAAAGGTGGAAGCTCCAGGACAAGCGAGGATATCCAATATTCCGAGGCTTTACTGGATGCTAATGTCTTTCCATCACCTGTATTTCTACCCCAAATACTGCTGTGGCCTGGAGTAGGGAATCCTGGTGATTTTCGGCAGTTCCCCAAAGGTGGGGATGTTAAGTAGATAGAAAAGAAATGTAGGGAGCAATAGCCTTGTACTCCTTAAATTCCTAGCACGTACAAACACCCTTCTTCCATTCATAGGATTCTAAAAATGCTCCCTCCTGGCATAACTTAATTACTCGACATACAACCAAGAACTATGCATACGAACATTCCTAGCTATCCTAGTTGGGGGTGCAGTGTTGGGGCCTCTGTTTATAGTTCAAGTTCTCCTGCTGATGACCCTTATTTCGCTAGCTCTGCCATTATCCCAAGTTGATATTGACATTCTGCAATACCATGACCTAAATGGTGAATTCATCACACCACACTATCCCCTTTACAGTACTAAAGAAGAGGTGAGAGAATTGAAAAAGCAAACAAACAATCAGCAGGGAAACACAGGTAGAGGGTACAGTCCTGATTTCTGCAAAAGCCTTGAGGTGGTTCTGTCGTTTACGATTTCTCTATCAACCCCACGTTCTTTTTGCTTTTCTCACTGGAGACGCTCAGGTCTTTATTCCTGGAGAGTCTGAGGCCTTGATGGTCCTTTGTAGGGTTGCAATACTCTGTCGTGTGCCCCCCGAGCCTGTAGTGAAGAAGGAACCTTAGGGGATCTCCTGCATCTCGTCCATATTCCTGCTTGTCCTCATTCCATAGCATGAACACCGTGATCGCCTGTCTTGAGTGACTCCAGGAGCTAAGAGTGGCTTCAAATTTGGTGGAACCATGGTTTCAGACCATACTGGATGTGTTTCTTCTAGGGAACTAAAACCTCTAACCAGCAGATTAGCAGGAACGAGAAGTAAAACTGTTGCAGATGGGTCAGGTGCAATGATGAGAAGCACTTCCTTTATTCCCACCCCTTGTTCCCAGACTTGCAAATCTTGGCAGTGGGAGAAACAGCACTATATATTGGTTGCTGGTTCGTATTATTTATTACATCTTAGCAGTCTCTGCCATGATTCTCCTATCAGGGCTCACCACAGGCTCCATATAGCATCCTGATTTACCCCAAACATTTGAGGCACTGTTGCATCTGCCAGATGATAAAGGCCAAGGTCCAGACTTCCTAGCATGGGAGCCGACCCCAGCTGGGGAGCCTGTTTTAGCTGTGGGTCCACATTAGCCTGTGTGTGGTAGGGCTAACATCTCCATTTTTCAAGTCTTGGATGGTGGCAAAAAATCTCTGCAGTTCCCATAAGGATTCGTTATCACGTTTTACTTCCTCTGTTGATAAGGTGAGGGAGCCCTAATCGATTACATTTGCCCCTTCTTACCCTATCCCCCCTTCTCCGGGAGCGAGGGAGCCAATGTGGCGGATGCTGGTCGGCTGCAGATTTCTGAAGTCAGGAGGCTCGCTGGGGCAGCCTGTACCCACAGGGTGAATAGGAAGAAAAGAGTGGGGGCAGCCTCCCACTCCATGCCTCTCGGCAACCCTCAGACGGTGCAGAAGATAACTTCAGTGCTTTCTGGGACACCATGTGTTGCAGCACAGAGCTCAGAGGAACCAACAGAACCTCAGGGTAGTCCTGGCAGCTACCAGCCAGCTGAGGACCACCTGGATGGACAGGGGATTGGGGACTTGGTCTGGTGGGTTTCAAAGGGCACCCAGCGGCGCCTGGCTGGCTCAGTCGGTAGGGCATGTGACTCTTGATCTCAAGGTTGTGAGTTCAAGCTCACTTAAATAAATAAATAAATAAATAAATAAGGGTGCCTGGGTGGCTCAGTTGGTGAAGGGACTGCCTTCGGCTCAGGTCATGATCCCAGGGTCCTGGGATCGAGCCCCGCATCGGGCTCCCCTGCTCCGCCGGAAGCCTGCTTCTCCCTCTCCCACTCCACCTGCTTGTGTTCCCTCTCTCA